GCAGCGGGTGGGTCAGGAGAGGTCTGCCACGCCATATGGTCACCTCCGGGGCAGGCGGGAATCGAACTCATGCTGTAAGTGGCTTCTCAGTGCTGTGCTTTAACCCGCTGCGCCACCAGGGTGGGCCAATGTTTGGTACTTTAAGCATAAACATTGAAACAAATAACTTCTCTAAAAATGTCAAACACACAAAGTTTTATGGGCCCCCAGGCCTAGGAAAGCGATTGGCATACAATAAATACTTAATTACCCAAAATATGTCTTTTTCTAATCCTATGTTCCAAAAAGGAAAAATTATAGATATATAATATATATGAAGGTATTCACTATTACATATTTATATTATAAGGACCAAAAGGGGACATAATGCAAATAAGGTTATCAAGATTGGAAATACGTTTTTGTGTTTATAGTATTCATGTATTTCATATTCATGTAGAGAATCAAATGTTATTTAAGAAAATTAAAATGGAATAAGGCCAATTTATCATTAAATACATTAAGTACAGATGTATCATTAAATACAGAGAAATTGTTATAAGGTTAGATTGGGGGGATCTTACAAGGAAACTTATAGCTCTTTATATTTATTTTCTAAATAATAATTCTCATTTTAGTGACAAACCAGTAAGATATTCTGAATTGTTATCACATTACAACCTTTTAAACAATAAGAACTTGGAAAATTGAAGATGGAGTAAGGATCAAACTCTGAACCTGTAAATAATATCCTGAATGAACTCCATCCACCAGAACATTTTTATGGACTATGTCTCCATGCTAATTAGGTACTAAGGATTATAGTTCCCAGTGTCCTGTGAATTTGAGTTTCTGAATGGGGGATTGCCAGGAAACAGGGTTAGAGTTTGTAGTTATGCTTAGCTTATAACTGAGCACATGGTCTCAGGCTCTCTCGTTTTTCTAGCTTCAGTTTGCACCCTGGTACTGCTGGAAGGAGACACGTGCAAGAGAGACATGTAGAAATACTTGGAAGAGGGACTCTGGAAGAAGACACATGGATGAGAGCACACATGGAGAAGCTGTTCTTGTTTCTTGGCAGAAACACTGGTGACCTTTATCTTGATCTTATTATGGATTATGTGGGTATTTCACATTTTCTTTCTCTCCTTCTGTCCCAGCACTCTGGGATCTGTGTAAGCCCTTTGTGTTTCATTGCCTTAACGTACCTAAAGTACTTTAGAGTTTAGCTTTTGGGCACAGTGACCTGACCAGTCTAGGCCTTCTCGGGCGCCAGCACACAAGAGAATGGGTGATTTTTGGAGTGTGTTGCTTGTTGGACTCCTTCCTTCTCCTTCCTCCTCCTTCCCACACCCACACCCACCCCTTCTATTCTCTTGTTCTCCCCCCCTTCTCTCTCCACACCAATTCTATTAAAAATCTTTCACATTAGGCCCTCCCTGGTGGCGCAGCGGGTTAAAGCACTGCACTGAGAAACTAAAGCCACTTCCGCATGAGTTCGATCCCCGCCTGCCCCAGAGGTGACCACATGGC